GTCTGACAATGGAACAATGGTTTTATACGGTTAAAAGTGCGATGACCTTACCCTTCCGTAGAATGGTTATGGTAAAGTTTACCATGTAGAATAATTGTCAGCAAAATTAGGTTTACACCGGTAGACGCACTGTAGTATACGTAGTATAAACTGTTAATCTAATGTAATCCATAAGGAATGACGACAATTGAGACGTTGGTAACAAATTGTGTCGCATTATGCTGAACACCTAAGAGAGGTAAATAAGGTGGACGGTATTCCGGGAGTTGTCCGGACCCTTGCGTTTATCCGTGGGTAATGAGTCACATGAGATGGTGCAGCGAAATGAGTGCACGTTCTAATCGGGCTTTGAACTCTGCCAGCGCGGGAGCATAAATGACAGATTCCAGTAGGGCATTCCAAGTGTTGCAAACGCGTACGGAAAAGAAATTCCGACGGCATTCCATACGACTGTGCTTCTCTGCCGGCTTGCGATAGTGGATTCTCAATTTACTCTTGTCACTGAGCTCCAACAAATGGCGACACGTGTGTTTGGGATTTCTCGAAATCTGTTTAATCAAAATTAGGTCCCCGTGTGATCGCCGATATTGTCTGCTGAAGACTCGGAGCACTTGGAGCCTTCGATTATACGGCAGATTACACTGACCCATGAACTGTTGGTTGCCAGGTTTTGAGGCATCTCCAAGGCCATGACTTCCAGACCTGCATTGCGTACTCCACAGGTACACTATGTTTATGAATGTCTATGTATGGGCCGATAAGCTGTGGAGAAATCCATGGGTTGAATCGTTCAAACGTATGCTTTAGGAGGCCGACATCCTGATTCGAACATCAAAGGTCAGCCTAAACAAAAATGCCCAGTTCATTCTTGCCAGAAGACGTTTGAAACCCCTGGTTGCCACGTTTGTGGGAGCACACAACCTTATTTGGTACATGCAGCCCTCTACATTTGTCCACGGTGAACCAAAATTCATTATGAATTGACCATGTATATCTTATTCAGATCGGCCTGTAGTACTGTGATAACATCTGGTGTATTGATCACCACCCACACTTTGATTTCATCTGCATAAATCCGGCATCTTGAGCTTATGAAATGTGTGATATCGTTTATATACCTCAGAAGTAACCGTGGTCCTTTTACTGATCCCTTGGATACTCCGCGTTCAAGAGGGATGGCATCTGACAGGGAATCAAGCACCCGTACTTCCAAGCGTCGGTGTAGAAGCAAGCTTCTGATCCGCCCTAGGAGAGGATAACATAGACCAAAGATCTGGGGTTGTAGAGCAGTATGGCATGCTGATGCTGAGGTTGCATCCATGGTGCATCTTCGCCGCAGTTGAGATAAACCAACTTACTGTTAAACTGGATCCTTTTTAATCTGGATAAAAGTCATTCCACCTTATTTGATCTGTTTATTTTTGTTATTTGGCTACATGTTCTGTATCAACTTTGCGTGTTCGCTTTCCCTCAAATTTTATGTTGGTTGTTTGATATCCCCAGTGTGGCTGCGCTTGATGTGAAGGTTGACAAGCTGCCTACTTTTCTCACACACTTCACCTCGATGACTGGTTTCAGGACAGTGCGAATCGTTTCTGGGGGGGGGGGGGACGTGGAGCATGGTCCTCGTGGCTGGGTTAGGCTCAATGTATGGTCCTATCCAGTGTGGAGCGAACTACGGTCCAGCCACCGCCTTTGTACATCTGGTACGCATGATTCCCAACATAGCTAGACAGAAATGCTGCTGTTGTGAATGTTAAAGGAGTGTGGCCGTCTCCATGGATAAAAAGTGCCTCCCATTCACATGCCTTCCGGTCTTATTCCTTCGGATTTACACTGGATCTGGGGTGCGGGGATGGAGCTGTGAGTGTTGCAGCATAAGCCACCCATGGTCCCGCTAAATGCACAGGCGTCCTGTGGCTGTCCTATGGAGGCCACGTTGACAAGCAAATCCGGAACCGGATGCCGCCAACCGTGTCATGGTCTAAGCGGTCAAACGGCTTTGAGAAGTCGAGAAACAACACATCAACACCAGAGTCTACTGCCTCGGTCCAGCTAGATCATGCGACTAGTAGATTTGTAGTGCACGATCGATTTCGTCAGAAGCCATGCCGTTCTGGTGCCAGGCAGTTAATTTATTCCAAGTAGGCCGTTAACGCATCAGAAATAATAGCTTCTATGACCTTCGAAAGAACCGGTAGTAAGATTATGGGACGGTAATTGGTTGGATCGGAACGAGTTTTCCCTTGTGAATAGGAGTAATCATTCCTTGTTTTCACACTTCGGGTAGGTACAGTTGGTCGAAACATTGTTGGAAAAATTTAAACAAATGCTAAGCTAAGCTCTCTCTTACCGCCGCTAGCGACTTCGATTGTGATTTATCAACTCCGGGAGAGCTGTGCTTGCACATACTCAACAGATTTTTAATGCAATTTCTGTCGTGAAACATGTGTGAGAGTTCTCAGGGTGAGACAACCCATGGAATAGGGTCAGGTGGCTAGTGATTGCACTGAAGCGTTGCAGCATATTGAAGATCACGGCATTCGCTGCCTCCTTCAGTGTCCGCGTGCGTCTCTCCACTTTTTGTATAGGAGGAATCCCCCGTTTCACCTTATGTAGACCGCTTATGTGTTGAGGTAGAAGCTTATGGTTTGAGGCCATAAGCTTTGGCAACTTCTGCTGGTAAGCCATTCTATTCTCGCTAAGAAGCTGAGTGCAGTGGTTACATTGGTTTGCATAGATCATCCAGGTCTCGGTGCTTGGAGAGAGTTTGTACATATGCCAGGCTGGGTTTCGCCCAGCTATACACTTAGATGTCCCGCATCGCACAAACGAGTCACGTTTCTCGAGTGGAAGTTCCTAGTCGCTGATGCTTCGGCAACCAGAATGTTAAAATAGTTGACAAGATATTCCCATACGCTAGTCGGTGCCTCGTCTGCCAGAAAGGTCTAGTTGGCTGCCTCACCTAGTCGAGCTAATATATCGTAGTGTATATGCGCCCGCGTTGCGTCGGCAATTTTCACGGGATATTCTGCGTAGCAAGTGTATTCGAAGAGTAGAACTGCATAATCGCTGCGGCCCAATGGGACTTCGACGATTACTCTTAAGATCATCAGTTCTTCATTCTTAAATGTCCGTTTCAGTATAGACGTCTTATCATTTTCTCGGAATCCGGAGAGTTATGATGCGGATATACTGCGGGAAACTGGAGACAAACTCTTGTGGATTCGCCTTAAGCGGTTTCCAAGGAGCGGCTTGGGATTCCAGGTCGTGGAAGTTGAAATCGTGGTCCATGACCCGCCTTAGGAGAGCTCAACTGGTTGCAAGGTCACGAAATATTGACAAGGTATCCAGTAGAATCTCTTGAATGCACACTAACTTTCAGTTTATGCTTTACTTATTGTAAGCAAAGTGGAAGTATGTAGTAGCTAAGTAAGCGTTCTCAATTTCATTTTGCGACTGATGACAGCAAGCACTCAGCTTAGAGGGAACTATATTTCCCATCCATCTGATTTGATGGCCAAGGAAACACTGTCTAGACCCATTAATCCGGGCTTACCAGCTGAGCCGAGGAAATTGGCCAAGTCGGATGTACTAACATATAGTCATATGAAAACCTAGGAGGTACATGTGATAGAATGGCTGGCTTGCAACTCCACCGCTAAAATTCAGCTTCATCCTTATGTTGTCACTTTGGATATAAATAGCTTCATTGGATCAGAACGGCCCCAACAGATAGACAAACTTGTCTAATTAGCTTTGTAAGTAACTCATGCGTCGTTTACCTGCATTTCTATAGCAGTCGAACATAATAGCCCAACACCAGGTGATTACACAACCAAGATTGCCGTAGTCTCATACAGAGGATAAACTAGACATGCACGGAATGGGTGGTAAAGTTGTGCCGCCTGCTGGGTGAGTCGTTTCATGAGTGTGGTGAAGACTTGTTTTCACAAAATGTTGTAAGTGCAAATGTACTACCATTCGGACCGTAATCTGAGTTATAATAACCGAAAATTGGGAGGATGCTGCCTTATAGATTCGCAGGTTACACCACACATGTGTGCTATGAGTATAATTTCTCACAGTTATAGGATTAGCCTGGACTTTGCTCCACGCCCCGGACGCTAAATGATTTGTCATAATGTGTATGGGCTTCTATTCGTCTCCACCAAGTTTCCTCACTGTAAGCAGCTGTTGAGCAGTGGAACACAAAATACTTTTTCATTGTCAACGTCCTTAGCACTCATTGTTTATGTGCGTGAAATGGGAAGAAATCACAATTTGGAAAATGATCAATTTTCACGTAACTTCAGACAATCTGACGGTATGGACCGAATCCAACTGGATATGGGCAATGTCCTGCAACCTAACACCAGTGAACTTTCGTATACAAACGAGAATTTACTCTTTCCTTAACTCGTGAAAGCTATTTACTGTGATCCCAGAGAACGGCTTACAATCCTTTTCCGGAATATATACTAAAATAATCACTAAGACATATTTTATGTGACAAGAGTATACTTAATACTTAGACTTCAAAGAAAACTCTCGAACCTTGAGTCAGCAAGTGGAGGCTCCTAATGAACTATAAGGTCAATTCACATTTACCAGAGCGCTTTCTGAACGGTTATTCGCACTGTTGTTCTCCTGGACGATTTTATGCAGTTTGACTATATGAATAAAATATCCATTTGCTTGACTTTTGTAATCAGTACTGTTCCTCTGTTCGTCGGATTTCCTACACGGAACCTTAAGCAGATACCACAGTGGTTTTATCATTTTGCAAATTTACCCTCACCTATTCCCTCACTGGATTTTCACCGCTATACCTGGAGGTGTAAGATTTAACGCGTCCCTGTACAGTAGCTCTCATATAATCAATTTCCAAATATTCATTGACAAAATCCAAATAAATTTTACTATGGATTTTTTTCTGATAACGTAAGTAGAACAGTGCAGGCAGTTTACTGCGGTCAGAAGAAATGAGTCAAACTCACGGGATTTTTCAGCCAAAGTGGAGAGCAGTTTGTCGAGGTCGCTTTTGATAATTCCGAGTCTCATATCAACCGCAGATTCGCAGTCGACTGGTGGCGGTCCGTCAACCCATTCGGTATTGGAGGTGGGGGACCAGGAGCAGTGGCCATTGAAGATATTTTGTAGCTGATCCAATAAGAGATTTCGATATGAAAGCCAATAAATTGGTTTCACTTGATATTGGCCAATGTCATTACGCAACATGTATAGCCTGATGTTTTTCGTCGATTTGTTACCAGGTTACTTTATTAGGGGAACGAAACCAATAACTGTTCCGTAACATCCGATAATCTATAGCTATTTGGGTGCCTTGGTGCAGGGAAAGGATTCAATATTTTTGAAACATATTCAGATATCGCTTAGATTTTGCAGTATTCCTGTATCTTGTAACATAAATTCTGTAGAGCTGTATACAGCTTTAGTAGCTGCACCATTTTCAAATATTGATCAAATGGATGTATCTAAGCATTATATGCTAGTGAACCTTTTATCCTTCACAAGAGTCTTCGCCATACATGCGGGCCATTGTGTCCCTGTCTTCAATTCAAAATCATACAAACCACGTGGATGCTATAGGCCTGAACACCCTAAGTTCAAATTCTCATTTCCTCATTTTTTCCTAGCAAGTTCCATATGCACTGAACCCGTATACTCGTATTTTCTATTTCCTACTCATACCATCTTGTGCGATTGTTTAAGCCCTACCTTGTGACTGTACTAAACCACGGTTGCGTTCCTTCGACTTTGTTTCCCTCTCACGTATTCCGTCATTGATTTCCATAGTTGAAGTTAAAGACGTGCTGTAAGACTCCACGGATCACGTTTATTACTACGGTAGATAGGAATTTATAATGAGTCTTGGGGCTTCCGCATTAACAACTAAGAATAGCAAACAGCCTTAGAATCCTATGTAAATGCAAACGGGAGTCCATTTCATGTGAACAGCAACGGCTCAATTATTTTAAAATTAGTTTCCATAATTCCTGAGCAGCCATCAGTTTTGGTTTCACAACGAAAGCCGTGGTCTTAGATAGTGCGTAGATAAATATACCATCTGAGACTGAAAATCCTGGGAGTGTACAGTGGAAGATATCGCCGTATACGGGGTGATTTCTACCTGGCGTTCCAGATGTTGAGAACCTCGGTCACGCTTGTCGACGTCTCCTGAAGCCCAGCCGCAAAAATTTAGGGGTCACCAGCTGAAACTGGCCGCAAAGTACAGTCAATAGGAGTGCCGCCGGAATTATTTTCCTTTCGAATTTGTCAGCTGTGAAACACAAATTTGATTTTGTTATTTCTGCGTC